CAGATGCTGCTGGTGCAATAAGCTGTAGTTTTACGTCCAATGGATGATGATCTGATTAGTCGACTAATCGCATAAATAATCGGTGACTAGTCGACTATCAAAATAATCGTTTGTGGCAGCCCTAATACTATACAGTACAATAACAGAGAAAACCCAACATCAGACGACCCCTTGTGCACAAGCACTTGGCAACAGTGGGAAAGAAAAACTCCTTTAACAGGAAGAAACCTCCAGAAGAACCAGGCGTCCGTCTGCTAACCAGTCGGTGGTGACGGGAGGAAGACGGGACAAAACATACACTGTGGAAGAGACACAATGACTAATAATAACTAATGATTAAATGCAGAGAGGTGTACATGGTGAGTGAAGAAGAAACACCCAGTGCATCATGGGAATCCAGCCCTAACTATATGCTTTAGCAAAAAGGAAAGTTTGAAGCCTAATCTTGAAAGTAGAGATAGTGTCTGTCTCCCAAACAACGGAAAATATGTCAGTAAATTCTAAACACCACAGCAGACACAATAACAGGTGAAACAAGAGCTGCTATTATGACTCTTTCCATCAATCAATAGTTTGGTTTCTGGATCAGGTTCACCTTTCTCCAGTGCACAAGGAGCAGAAGATCCTTCGACGCTGTAATAAACATAAGAGCTTCGTAGTGCTTTGGTTTGCGACCTTCAGCAGTGTCGTCGTGGCCTCGAGGTGAAACCCACTGATCGAGCACTCGAGCTGTTCTAGCAATCAGTGAATAACCTGTGATATTATCGTCTGGTTTATAATCTGTGCTGCTCACTGTGGCGTCATGGCTGGATATAAAAACACGTACCCGTAGGTAGCTTTAGTCCAGCTGCTGAAAACAGCTGTTCAGCTGAAACAGATGTGCAGAAATCCTGCTGTTTATCAGCCCAGAAGACGTTTCAGTGAAGGAAGATGTCTTTGAGCACGGACGGCTGATTCCCCCATTTTTGGACACACCACAGCGAAACGTATGTTGTTAAAAGAGTAAAGCTCTGATTACAGTCACTGTCATTTTTATATGAAATAAGTATCTGTTGGTGTGCAGTAGAAGGCAGGCCGTCGTTTCTGAGGAGGAAGCCTGAACGAGCGTGTGAAACTCACAGTATTTTTAATCTTCTGAAATATTGATTCCTTGTTTGTTCCTCTGATCCCGCTCAGGAGGTGCCGTACTCGGAGATCAAGAACGAGGGCAAAGAGGCTGACATCATGATCTTCTTCGCCTCTGGTTTTCACGGTGACAGCTCCCCGTTCGACGGAGAGGGGGGCTTCCTGGCCCACGCTTACTTCCCCGGCGCCGGCATCGGAGGAGACACGCACTTTGACTCCGATGAGCCCTGGACGCTTGGCAACGCCAACCACGACGGTTAGCCAAGTCTTTGCCTCTTTGACCTTGGCGCTCGCGCCGATTCCGCTGAAACATGCTGAGCGACGGTTATGAAACGCCAGCTAATGGATTAAATTATCATTTATTTTCTTCACTAACTTTTGCAAATTAAATTCCTCGAATGCGAAGATGTCCTCAGTCGTCGGCGCCGTATCTCTGAGCGCTGCTCTGTTTAGTCACTGGATGAAAAGTGGAGGCCAAAACACACTTCACTTTGTAGTTTTCTTCTTCTTCTTCTATCTCACTTTGACGAATGACTTGTGCCAGATTCCCTCTGCTTGAATAACTAACGTGTTGACAGAGAGAGAGCGAGACGCGGGCACTGATAGAGCGGGAGAAGGAATCTGGTTTGAAAGATTAGCACAAACGAGAATTAGCTCTGACAGAGAAGCTCTGAGTCTGCGTTCCCACATTACAGCCCGAGTTTCTTTTTTTCTCTTTCAGGCTGAAATAAGCATCCAAGGACACGTCCACGCTTTCATTTTAATGAAGACTTTTATTCAGACACGCGTATAAACGTAGCAAACCACTGATTCTCCTCCTGCAGGCGCTGTTTCTGCAGACAGCAGGGGTCTGAACAGCAAACGATTAAACATAAAGAATAGATGGGAGGCGGCTGTGGCTCAGGTGGAAGAGCGGATCAATCCGAGGTTTGTGGTTTGATCCTCAGCTCGACCTGTTTATAAGATGGTGATGCAGAACAGCTGCCCCTGATGCACGAAACAGCTAAACAAACCAAGTCTATTTAAATGTTTTAGACGCCGTCCAGCATTCAAAGAAAATGGCTTTTTACTTTATCTTAGATTACAGTGTGCTTATAGCATGTGGCTCGCGTTACCCACTGACTGCATATGAAAGATGGGTTATTGTGGGGGTGTTGGCATTATCTGCTCAGGTTCCCTAACTTGATTAGTTTCACAGTGAAATTAGCTGTAAAGATCAAAGCTGCATTCTGTGTCAGGCTGAAAACATATTTCTGAGGGAAGTTTGGACATTTTTACACGGAGGTCTGTGGAAACTGACACTCAGGACCCGCCAGCCTCAACTGGACATTAGAGAAACTGCTCGGATTCAGTTATGAGCCTGCACTGAAATCGTATCATATGTCTTTAAATTCAGAAAAACATCAAAGAAACTCAAAAGTGCACCAAAGGAAATAAACTCAGACACAGAAAAAAGTGCAAAGAAACAAAATGAGTTCGAAGAGATACAAAATGATCCAATCGAGATATAAAACAAACGCTGAGAGACAAAAGATTTTTGTGCCTCTTTAACATCATAACTATAAAGATGTAATTAAAGAACAACCATAAAGAGATTAGAAAGAGGTCAGAGATGTTAATGCGACTGCGTCCTTGGGCAACACATTGATCCCTAAATGTGCCCAGATGGTAAGACCAGCTCCTTGTGTGGTCGCTCTTTGCTGTCACTGTGCTGATGGCTAATTAAGAGCCAAGGATGGGAAGTGCCTTGAATAAAAGCTTTGAGACGCCGGCTTCACTTTTAATCCCCGGAGTTTGATTTCTACCCAAACTCCTCAACCAAGGAGGTGCTTAAACTTGAACCAACAGCGAGTGAAGAAGAAAAGCGTCTTACAACTAAGACGTCAGCATTTTAAAGAGATAAGGTTGGACATTTGATTGTTTTTGTTGTTTTTAAATGAGTGAATGCAGTAGTTAGGCAAAATTAATATGAAACTGGAAGCTTCTACCCCCAAAAACTTAACCAGATTCACCTAAACACTGACTGTTTAACTGTGGCAACTAAACTATTGTAACAACGTTGGCTTTTACGTGTAACAGTGATCAGTTTGAAACCTGTGATGGAGGCAGAGAGCAGTCGAGCCGGCTGTGAAAATGCACCAGTTTGTCAGGACGAACAGGTTTTTACATAAAATGGTAAAATTATTGATTAATCGCTGAATCTTCTCTCAGCATGTGTCTGTGTGGTCACAGGTCCTCTCTGCACGTCCTCAAAAAGCCTCTTTATCTCTGAAATCCCTCCACACACACACACACACACACACACACACACACACACACACACACAC